TATCCAGACGCTGCTTGTGTGAGTTCTCCTGTACCTGTGGCTGCTCCTAAACTCACTCTTTCTAAGACTGCTAATTATGACATGGACAACTTAAGTACAGCAGAGTTGCTAGAACCAGCCCACCATAAATCTCTGTTTACTGAAACTGTGTTTGGCTCCACTAACTTGGTTCACCCAGTGACTGTTACTGTTCCTGTGCTTCGCTCTCCACCTCCAGTTCCTGTAACCAGGGCAGCGCGGGCCCAGCTTTCCCTTGCTCCCGTATCAGTTCCTCGGGAGAGGGTGGCTGAGGTCCAGCTGGTCCCTGCTTCTGTCCCCAGCCTGGCAGAGGCGCCGTTCATCCCGGCACCCGTACCTGCCCCTCGGGTGGGGTTGATGGACACCCAGCCTATGCCTGCGCCAGTTCCGGTTCCCTGGGTGAGGTCTACTGTGACCCTGCCGACTCCTGCACCCATCTCAGTCCCTCGGGTGGGAGCAGCAGAGGTCCAGCTAGCTCCTGCACCTACACCGGCCCCCAGGGTAAAGGCAGCCAGAGCCCAGCTCGTCCCTGCACCCGTATCTGTTTCTCGGGTGGGGATGACTGGTGTTCGGCCAGGCCCAGCACCCGTTCCTGTTCCTCGGAGGAGAGCAGCCAACAGTCAGTCACCTGTTCAGTCACCGGTTCAACTACCTGCTGTCCCACCATCACTACAACCACAACTACAACTTGCACTTCAATCGATAGCACAGTCATCAGCTCAGTTCATTGCTCAGCAACCCGTTCAGACACTGCCCACCTCAGCTGGAAGCCTTTGTGAGCTTTCTCCGCCAGCTGGGGACTGCGTGGTGCTGACACACTTTGGACAGACTGTTTGCCCTGTACAGCCCCAGCCAGCCGTTGCATCCTAAACCGACTGCGTGCCCTGTGCCGCTACAGTTAGTGTCCGCTGAGCCAGAGGTCCCCGCACCTGCTGGCTCTGCATCCGTTTCCGCTGGGGGTTCAGGAGAACCTCTCCAGCCGCTCCTCGTTTCCGCTGGGGGTTCAGGAGAACCTCTCCAGCCGTTCCTCGTTTCCGCTGGGGGTTCAGGAGAACCTCTCCAGCCGTTCCTCGTTTCCGCTAGCGGCTCTGGTCAGCCCAGCCAGCACCTCCTTGTCTCCGCTGGACGGTCCGAGGGGCCCATTCAGCCGCTTGTCTCCGCTGGAGGGTCCGCTGGGCCCCTTCGTCCACCGGCCTCCGCTGGAGGGTCCGAGGGGCCCGTTCAGCCACCGCCCGCGTCTCCTGTCTCTTCATCCACGCCAGCTGCGGCCGCCGTGTCTCCGCCCACGCAGTCGCCTGGTCCAGCTTCATCAGAGTCTGCATCCTCGCCGTCGCCTGGTCCGGCTCCGGCTTCATCCTCGCCTGGTCCGGCTTCGGCATCGCCCTCGCCTGGTCCAGCATCTGCTTCTGCGTCGCCTGGTCCAGCCTCTGCATCTGCTTCTGGGTCGCCTGGTCCAGCCTCTGCATCTGCTTCTGCGTCACCTGGTCCAGCCTCTGCATCCGCTTCGCCTGGTCTGGCCCC